TAAAAGCTTTATCGCACAGATTGCACACAAAGGGTCGATGATCTGTGAAGGAGTAAAACAGCACAAATTAACATCTACTATCATCTTTTCAGTAGGTATGTTTTATTTTATATATGTATAGGAGGGCACTCACTCGTATGGGTCAAGAGGTGACGCTCCAGCGAACTGTTGGAGCTCAGTTCACAGGAGCAGAAACAGCAAACGTGCTTGCCATCGCCGCGTTTCAAATTGGTTTGGTGCTGTTGCAAGTGACTGGTTAATTGTGCTCTGGTAGCAATCTCTGCCATAGAGCAGATGGGACAGCTGAACAACTCGACGCCCTCCTTGCAAGCGTATGGTTGAAGCTGAAAGCAGAGTAAAAAATCGTCTTGTATTGTCAGTCCAATTTTATGCTGGTATAAATGCGGACAAACAGAAACTTTTTCCCAAAGGGTAAAGTCAGGAATCCTCAGATCAGATGTCGTTTAATACACACAGAGGACAGCTTACCCACTTTGTACACCCAGAGACAGCTCTCAGTCACGGCTTTCTATTGCCTTCTAGACACTTTGGCTGAAAGTGGAGGGCTCATCTAGTACAATTTGATAGCTGTTTCACACAATGGTCTGTGGTGAAGGAGTGTTCAGTGACAAGTAAAGGACAAAACAAGTGCTCGTGTTTTGTACTCGAGCTGCATTAAAATGGTTTTGCGAAGAAAAATACTTCAAAACAGACATGACATTCCGACCACCAAACATTCTTATTCATAGATTTCTTTTAACAACACGAATGTGAGTCAGACTGTGTGGGAATAATTCGGTTTCCTGCGCCGGTCTGTTGCAGACGTCTCGCGTCTTTGTGACTTCCGTTACTAACCTTCTCGTAATAACCATTTCCACGCATCATTAATGACAGCTAAGGGAACTTTAACATCATAGGCCATCCTTCTAATGCTTCTGAAAGAGGACAGCTTTAGAGAAGTGCGGTAGAAATGTGAGACAGGGTCAGTCTCACGATCGTTCACCTCTTGCTCCTTCTGTACAAGGCACAAGACCAAGTTAAGTTTTTATGAGATAAGATCTATCACAATTAGGGGGCGGGCCTTTCACCACACAGGTAATGGTTGACCCTGTCCGGTCTCCTTTGGTACAGCGTCCCCCTTTAGCAGCCATTCCCATCATGCTCCCGGTTAGCGCACTCAGCTGCCCCCGAATACTGAATTATGCCTAAGGTACTGCCCCTCTTCGACTCCAGCACTCTTTTGAAGGACTCGAATAAGTAAGTTCTCAGTGGAGCAGATCTGCGTTATTACCAATTGTCATTGATCCCTGGTTCGTCGTAGCTATGGTGCCTAGATGTGCTACCCCGCCATATGTTCCACCACTGAGCATACTCATGTGATCCGTTAGGCACGTGTTAACGTCAACCCCAACGGACTGATCCCCTAGTCGTTTTTTTTAAATATTAGTTGTCTTAGTTTCAAAAGCGCACATGCCTTAGACTTTCTCTGGTGTTTGGAGACTTATTTTTCTACGCTCAAGTATTCGACTTCTATCTCAAAATCAAAACTTTATCGTGGAAAGTAGTGTGCATAATACTGGCGTGTGCCTTCTTTAGATTACAAAACTCTACTGATGGGTCTGCTCACCTTAATCTCCTCACGATTCCTTCGTTTTGTATCCCAGCTACCGTCGCTGTCTATTGTCTCCATGGAGTCCTGTAGGCCTGTAGGGGGCTTGCAGGTGGCGGCACCAGGGGAGGAGTGAGTAGCTCCCGCTCCCTCGCCCTCTT